CAAGCTTTGCAATTTGTTCAGTAGTCACCTCATGTATCAAAACTGACTGACCCTATGTGATACAACTGTAGACTTAAAATTTCTAAATGGAAAACGAAAGAGACTAAAAATGGGAAGCAGACATTGTGAAGGTTTCAACTTCTAATAAACACACCATGGTATGTAATCAATGGAATGTTTAGCTATAGCAAGAGGTTTTATGGAAAGACAGGCTAGAGACCAGAAGAGTGGGTGATGGCACCCAGCAACAACAGTCTCAGTGATGCAATGCCAACTTCTTGACCTTTAGGAAATCAATGATAAGGAGCTCTGGTGGCCTAGTGCCTAAGGCATCTATCTGACTGCTAACCAAAAGGCTGGTGGTTCAAACCCACCTGCCACTCCTAGGAAGGAAGACTGGGCAATCTATTTCCCTGTGATAAGACAAAGCTAATGTAAATCCAATCTTCCCATTGCTCTTTTTTTCCTGAAGGGTCTTTTTTTTCCCCTGCCCCTATCACCACCCAGAGTTTACTCTCCTGAGCCAATGAGAAGCACTGGCTTTGTGGTACACATGCTAAAACATTTCTGATTTTAATTTTTGTTAATTATAAACCTTCTCTACTGGGAAAAAAATAAATTCAATGCCTATTCTAAATTTCTTACAAGGCATTTTGGGCACACTGAAAGTATCTGTGAAAGTGCTCTGAAAAAGAAAAAAAAAACATTAAAATACTACACATGTTCACAGTGTGATGGTGCTATTTCACTGAGGAGGGAGAGGAAGCTTGAATCATAATAGTTTGCACGAGGGTACAAATGTGTAAACACCCACACCCACACACACACACGCCTACCAACTACACTGGCCTGCCAACTGCCATTCAAAGTGGCTGGGCTGCCACACCCATCTTCCTGTTCTTTCCCTAAACCAATAGGCATTCTGTAACTAGGGAAATAGTTTTGGTTCTTAATCTCAAGCAGAAGTTTTGGCAGAAAAAAACCAACAGTAATATATTCCTTAAGCCTGCTTCCTTGGTAATCTTAACTCCTTACAGGCCCGCATATACTAACAAGTTGTAATGGCAACAGCCATCTTCATCTCCCCCTCCCACCTGACTACCCAACCCATTCTTACTTGTTAGCAACTAGAGAAACAATACTGCCTTGGAAACCCAAGGAGGGGTTGCTATCCCACTCAATGGCACATAACAACAACAGCAATCACTTCCAAAGTAGACTGCCCCACCTTCCTTCCTAGGAGTACCTGGTGGGTTTGAACCATCAGCCTTCTGGTTAGCAGTCAAGTGCCTTAAGCACTATGGGTGCATTGTTATGTTGTTGTTATTGACTCATAGCGACCCCTCCTTGGGTTTCTGAGCAGTATCACTAGGAAGTAGGATTGCCCAACCTTCCTTCCGAGGAGTGGCAGGTGGGTTTGAACTGCCAGCCTTCTGGTTAGCAGTCAAGTGCCTTAGGCACTATGCTACCAGAGCTCCTAGGGGTGCACAGGAGGGTATTTAATGAAGATGTTGATTAAGAGGATCTTGGAATGCATAATTAAACATGATGGGCTGAGGTGAAAAACAATGACTTTGGTAAGTGATCTAAGGTTGACTTGAAACTGGGAATAAAAGGGAATAACAATGGATGTAATTTATTTTTAATTTTAAAGTCTTTAATAGGATTTCATATGTAAACCTATTTAAAAACTTGAGTTCCCAATGAATCAAAGGGCAAGTTTACTCGTAAACAGGAAACTGTCTTAGGGAAGATTTAACAAACAAATAAAACAAGTCCATTGTCATTAACTCTATTCTAACTCATGGTTTTGCAAAGGAAAACTGGTCCATATGATATTTCTGTAGAAGCAGATGCCAGGCCTTTCAACTGTGGTGCCACTGCATGGGTTCAAACCAACAATCTTTAGGTTTGTACTGAGAGTAAATTGTTTGTACCACCCAAAGACTTCTAGTCCTCCTCGAGTTGGTTCTAACTCACAAAGACTCCATGTCTTTCAGAGTAGAACTGAGCTCCTTAGTGTTTTCAAGGCTGTGACCTTTTAGAAGCAGATAACCAGGCCTTTCTTCTGATGTACCTCTCGGTGTGTTTGAACTGCCAACCTTTCAGTTAGTGGTTGAGAACTTAATCAACAGCACCACCTAGGGACTCCGGGACAGGTAAAACCAACCAAACCAAACTCACTGCTGTCGAGTCGGATCCAATTTATAGTGACCCCTCCTTGGGTTTCTGAGGCAGTATCACTTCAGAAGTAGATTGCCCAATCTTCCTTCCGAGGAGTGGCTGGTGGGTTTGAACCGCCAGCCTTCTGGTTAGCAGTCAAATGCCTTAGGCACTATGCCATCAGAGAAACAGGTCCTTCTCTAGATAGAAGGGTAGAAGTGGCAGAAAGCCCCAGCAATCAGTGCTAGAACTAGGTTTATACTAATCTGGAAGACATGCAGGATGAAAATTAAGTACACAGATAACATTCACTCTGGGAAATGCAAGTCATAAGAATAATCCCTTGAGGAGTGTAGCAGAAATCACTGAACAAGTGACAGTTTTGGCAATGTCAAGCAGGGTGTTTAGCAAACTGCAAGCTGAACCATCCTTAAAAGAGAGAGGGCTATCAGTCACAATGGGGTAAGAGATCTCAGAATCACCGCAAAGTAGTTTTTAGTGACACAGACTCCTGCAGTTCTGATGTTGTATTTTTTTTTTTTTTTTCTTAAAGGCCAATAAACTGCTGAGCACAAGGACACGGGCTACCAGGAACAACACAGAAACGTTCTCCTGTAACACGGTCCGAGAGCTGTGCTCCACTGTGCAGCATGTGTTCTCTTTCTAGACACTGCGTTTTCAGGACAAAGATCAGAGCATCTAACATTTGTATGGTTCCATCTAGTTTTCATAGCATCTTCAGACACTTTATTAGACCCCCCAAGACTTTGTGGGGGATATATCTTCATGCCTGTTGTTGTTGTTATGTGCCGTCGAGTTGGACCCGACTCATAGCGACCCCCCCTTGGGTTTCCGAGGCAGTATCACCATGGAAGTAGATTGCCCCATCTTTCTTCCGAGGAGTGGCTGGTGGGTTTGAACCACCAGCCTTCTGGTTAGCAGTCTTTGGCTTAAATAGGCTAATCCCAGAGTTATCAAGCTTCTCCGGAGTAAAGCTAGGGATGCAGCAGAGATTCCTGGTTCCAAAGCTCTGTTTCTCAGCTGACACTTAAGCTGATGAATCACTAGAGAAACACAACTAAAATGATCAAAGAGCTGGAGAAGGTACGCTTTAACCAAAAGCACCAAACCGAACTACCAGAGTTAATTCTAACCAACAGCACCTCCCGTTGGGTTTCTAAGGCTGTAAATCTTTATGGAGGCAGATTGCCTCATCTTTCCTCTGCAGAATGGCTGGTAGGTTCAAACCACTGACCTTTTGGTTAGCAGCCAAACACCTTCACCACCACACCGCTAGAGCTCCACTGTGTCAGCTCCAAATTCACCCTTTATTGTTACTCTGTGAAAGTGGATCTGGGTCTTTTAAACAATTTTCCTTAGCCACCTGGCAGGTCCATAACCTTTGTTAGTAGAGGCTACTGGAGTGACACTCCAGAAAGAAAGAGTTTTGCTTCCTTGTTCCAGTGTATTACTCTACATGTTCCTGGCTTCTACAGTATCTGTGGCCTCCCACGTGCCCAGCTCCTGCAATGTAAACAGCTTCCCCAGTATCCAGCTCCTGTAGTGCCTGGTGGCCAGAAAATTCTTCCAGCACTCTCTTAGGGGGCGTGAAGCACTTACTGATGATAATCAAAGACTACAACCTTCAATATGGATTACACCTCAACATAAAGAAAACAAAAATCTTCACAAGTGGACCAATAAGCAATATCACGATAAATGGAAAAAAGAATGAAGTTGTTGGGGATTTCATTTTACTTGGCTCCACAGTCTGGCAAGTTCCATCAGCATAAAACCACAGCAACTTTTCTGCCACCCAACAAGCTACATCTCTGCTCTCTCCAGCAAGGTTG